GTAACACAATAGGAAATCAAAGTTTTACATAGAAATATATAGGAAAAATCTTTAAAAATCTTCTTCTCAAGAACCACTGGACCAGAAAAGCTGAAACTTATGTGGAAGCATGCTGCTGTAGTGTAGATTTTAAATTGTCCAAATTATGACCCCCAGGGATAGGGTGGGGCCACAATAGGAAATCAATATTTTACATAGAAATATATAGGAAAAATCTTTAAAAATCATTTTCTCCAGAACCACTGAGCCAGAAAAGCTGAAACTTATGCGAAAGAATCCTGGTGTAGTGTAGATTTTAAATTGTCCAAATTATGACCCGTGTGGTAAGATGGGGTCATAATATGTATTACTAGGGGGAAATCTGGTAAAGAATAACACGGACAAAGCTACTCAGGTGAGCGATGTGGCCCATTGGCCTCTTGTTTTTTAAAACAGCAATAAGGGAAAAATATTTTACGAAATGGTATTTTGAGACATACATTGCTAACTTTCAACGGTGAATGTATTTGACTTGTTAAAAAATATGAGTCAAGGTTGATGATTTGATCTGATTTGATTTTTAGAAGACTGTCGTAATCTTTGTTGCATTTAATCTTCAATTCACGGATGTTTTTAAAATAAAAAATGAATACAAGAAAAGTTATCATTAGTAAAGTAATGACAAAAATCTTCGACCTACAAGTTTATTTTGTTTGCACGAAAAAAAAAAAATAATATAAAGGCACGAATATGGATTTCGGTTTATTTTGTAAGATACTAGTAAATGGAATATAGTGTAGTTTGCTATAACGACATAACACCAAGTAATGATTTGTTACGATCTTTTCTCTTTCAGCCAATTGTGCATCGTCGGGAACAAACAATGCTGTTACAATTGATACCGAAACCGCATTAACATCTCCAAATTTTCCCGCTAAGTACCCAACGTGAGTATGAAAAAGTTCTTAGGAGCTGTATATTTATTTACATAAAACATTGTCATACTGGTATTCTTCCTTTAAAAGCCTAATGGTAATTTTGATGTCAGTAAAAATAGTAAAAAAATTCTTATAGAATTGCAACAGGAAGATTTCATCCCAATGTTAGTTCTTTTTTAATATCAACAATAAGTTTAAGACAGTGGAACCTACTAGAATTATAAAATAGGGTTTCTTTTACCATGTATATTTTACTGAATTCAAGACATATAGTGACTTTTTGTGCAGTCTATAACAGACTCCTTGGGTAGTTCAATTTCATAGCTTCCATGAATTTATTTAAAACCTTTTCATATTCAAAATATATGTAATTATTTTCAACCTTTCTTGTAATTCATTTCCTCTCATTTCATATATCTCTACTTTTTTGTAATTTATTTGTTGCACGTTGAATTATTATCTCTCTAATTGGCAAAAAAGATGAATGAATGAATGCAGGATAAGGATGTAAATATACATGAGCTTGTGGGTGCATTTGTATAATATACAAGTATTAGTACTTTCCAATATAAGCTCACTATCTCCTTTATTACATAATTCACATTTCTCCAATTGATACATGTATATATAAACATTTTTCAATTAAATTACTCAAAAGCAATGAGGATTTTTAGTGTCATTATTCAAATTTTGTAAAAGGGTGCTGTTTTAGGGTCTGTCTTTTACGTGATCAATAGCATGTCATTCCTTAGACTCAAGCATCCCTTTCAAAACGTTTGGAAGTTAATTTTTAAGAGGCCTCATGGTAAAAATTAGTTTGTTAATATTTTACATGAAAAATTAATTTATTTTACAATGTATATCTAGCTGTCATCAGCCGTAAAAATCATATTTGGATAACAATGGTGTGCTCAATATTGAAAGCTAGATTTCGAAATTTTGCAGGGTATACGAGTATATGTATTATAATACAACGCCAAGATATTGATCATAGATGTCCCAAGACATCTATATTTCTAATCATTACATGTAAGATTGACAACCAAAACAAATATATGTTTATAAAAATGGTAAAATTGTCAAAGTCTATTTATTTCAGAAACTTCGTATTGATTTTATGATTGATATCCCATTTTATGTATGCTGTAAAACAGAAAAACTTAAAAAATTCGAATAGAAAATTCGTATTTCTGTATGAATTTACCAAATACCCATATCAGACATATTATGACATCCCTAATTTCAATCCATAAAAAAAATAAAAGAAATTTTAAGGTAGTATTTACTTTTCAGGGATTTCATCTGCACGAATACATTCACAAATCCAGGAGGCATGGTGGCAGTTCAGTTCATGTACTTTGATGTTGAGGAAGACACAAGTAGCCCCGGGGCTTGTTTCGATTTTGTGGAAATATTTGATGGTAAACTTTTTCATAAAAAAAGTAAATTCATTAGATTTTCAAATTAATATTTCAAACTATCTGCATAAATTCTAGTTTTTTGAAACTGTTTTTCCTTAAGGAGTTTCGACCAGTTTCTCATTAATAGTCAAACTATGTGGAACCACAGTCCCTAGTCAGTCATACACTTCCACTGGGGAAAGTCTAATCATAAAGTTCACCAGTGATATTGCAGAGCCGAAAATTGGATTTTATGCAAATGTTATCCCTGTTGGTATGTTCTTTAATTATTTGTTTGACATACATTGTTCTGATTTAATTATATTGCAGTTCTGTTTGCCTCGAAATTAACGTTTTCTTTAATTTGAAGAATAATGTAAACTTTAGAATTTGTTTTCATATTAATATACAAAAAAATATAAATGATGATATAGGTGATTGTTTACATAGAAAAATATTTTATGGAGGTAACATGAAATATTATAAATTTTGAAATTACAGGTGAAGAAACAACAAAAACAACAACAGCAACAAGCCCCAAAACAACAACAAACACGACCCCAACATCAACAACAAACACAACAACAACAAAAACAACCCCAAAAATACCCCCCAAAATAAAAAATTGTTGCCGTAAAGGAAGATGTAAGAATAACAAATGGTGCATAGTGATTTAAGAGTGCACAATAAAACATTGATGATGGTTCTAATACAGCTTTAAAGGACAGATAACATTAAGTTCTATTGAATGTTGAAGGGATGTATTCATAATTTTAACATATATAACTTATAGGAGAGAATAATTTCCTGAAAAAATCACAATTTAAAAAGCTGTATTCATTGGTTTTTTTCAATTTGTTTATGTTTCTATTTTTTTCAATTTTGTAATTTTTTTTATTTTAAAATTCATCATTATATATATTAAAAACTTAAAATTTTATCATTTAATCAGCTTATTCATCATCCAAATGCTAAATTCGCTAGATTTTGATTTAAGAAATTATTTTAAATAGAAATGATTCTCTGTGCCTCTCCTGTCGCTAGGTAAAATTCTCAAAGAAAACTACACAAACTAAGGAAATCTCTTTTTGATAAACTGATATACATTGATAACGTCAACAGTATTTTTATATAGTCATAGTACAATTGGTGTTAGGATAGTATTCACATCGCAGATCACTTTATAGTCTTGTTTCGAATCCAGTTGGTGCCACAGATTATTTCATTATATCGTTCCAAAGATTATTTTATTTTTTATCATCATTAAAAGAAATTTAATGAAACTTTCACAGGTTATTGCCATTGTGCACCTCCTATCTTACTTTTTGATCTGACATATATTTTTTTGGATTCCAGGACATGACACTGTCATTATATTCATATGGGAGGCTCTTGTCCCATTGCTCACAGTACCTCTAATAAGTATGTTGAAATTTTCTGGAGAAAAATTATGTCAAAACTATTTCTATATTCCAGGACACGAATTATCCTCTTATCCCTTCAACAAATATGCTGAAATTTTCCCTGAGTCTGAAGAGAGGGCACACAAACATTATCTTAATGACATTCGGTTTTGAGTATTTTTCTTGAATCTTTTATTCGCTAAATAAAAACTGAATTTTCAATTCCTCATAACTCCATTAAATCACCTACGTATAGTTTACTTTTTTTTCGGGGACAAGAATTATTCATTCTGTTTTGCTCGATACAAGTGTTCTCGCCTGAGCTGCAAATGATTTCAACTGTATTTATATTTCTTAAAATTAATTTTTCTTTTTATTTCATTACTTTTTATCCATCTGGAATGCTAGTACAATTCATGTGTCTTGTCTTTTGTCCTAGATGATGCTTCTATTATTTGATATAAAACTAAATATACTGAATACATTTTAAATCGAGATAACTCCATTTCATTTAAATACACATTCAAGTACAAATAATATCTGAAGTAACTATTTGACTATCATAATTATTGTTTCACTATGTAGTAAAGGCATTTAACTGTTTTCATGTCATCTCTACCTAGCTACATCCGATTTATTTATTACCGGATATCAATTCTCTGTGTTTAGATCCAGCCAAAGTTAAAATGCATACAGTAACTGATAAAAATTCAGAGTTTTGTAATAATTGTTTATCATGAAATGTTACTTATTTATGTATAAATAGCTAAAGCAATTATAAAATAAATTGATACAAATCATGCAAAAACAATGGTAAATCACACAGACATTTTCCTATGTATGATGTTCTCTCTGATGAGTCAGAGACTAGATTCCAATTCTACAGTCTATCCCTACTCGCGGATGCCTCTGGATCGACAGGAAACTCTCACTCCTTCCTGGCACCTGATCCCACTTGTGTTTAAATGGTCCATGTTTGGTCTGCTCAAGATTCGAGTTGTGTGTTTTTATAGCAAAAATACTGTTTATTATCTCTAATTCGTTAATGTGTTTATTTTTATTGAGGAATAAAACAAAAAGAATTCAATCTATAGTCGGTTTGGACAAACGCCAGTCAAGTACCCGAAAAACTCGCTGACATCTCTTATGAGTAAAATATCAAAAAACATTAAGCTTCTCAAACCTTTTTAAGGTATGAATGCAGTTAAAGAACGTTTCATCAAGAAATGAACAACCAGGAGTTTTTCACTTTTTTATTCTTAATCACTTATAAATGCGCTTCATCCAACAACTATATTCTGAAAAGAGAACGTAATGAGAAATTTTAGAACAGATAAAGTAAAGCATTTGTCAAAGTTTAAATACAGATCTTTTAATCGAAAGGCATCGAAAGTAAGAAAAAATATTAAGAAATATAGTGATGCATACTTTAAGCGTGATCGTGATCATGGATAATTCGTATATTCATAAAGCTTATGGTTTCGTTTTAAACCTCAGGAAAAAAAATTTATTTGTCGTAAATATGATTTTATGCAATAAAGAAATAAATGACCTTTTTAAAACCAAACAGATTCAGAACAAACCTATTAATTAGATATGTAAAAAAAAAACATTCAATGAACTGCATTTGCGACCTCTAAAATTTGAATTATATGGAAACTTTTACGATGAAATAAGCAACAGTTTCTGGTCGCGAAATTATTATTATATTTATTTGATACAGAGCATGTACATGTGTATGTATGTATTATTTATAGACCGTAACTGTAGCTAAATTTGAAGAGCGATCGCTTCCTGATGGTATAGTTTCAAACACGCCAAACACAGCAATTGTTCCTCGAAAGGAACACGGCACTTTGAGGTGAATTTATTTTGGTCTTTCGGAAGAGACATGTGACACGATAAAGATTATCCACTGCTTACAGGCACTGAGCTCTGAAATTGAGGTCTATCCTTAAGATATGGTTACCTCTCTTAATCTCTTTACAATTCTCGATTGGGACGTAGAACATCATACATACAGTACCACCCCAACCCGACACTCGATCGGTCCAAACAGGAGTCGATCCCTTGGACTACTGTACATGTGAAACCACTGGCAAGCTACAGACCTACCTCTAATGGTGCTGATATGCACTTTGCTGGAAGATCAAATACAGATGTATCTGATACACCGGAAGTGATGTCATGGTAGCCTATTGAGCCAATTACGCCATCTGCAAAATCACATGAATAAGTAATAAGAATTGATTTCATTTAATGTAAAACAAGAAAGACTTTGACTCGAGTCATTATGAATTTCAAAAAAAGTATATATCATTTATTATTTGACATATGAATTATTTCAGATGTCCAAACTATAGAACGAAGTGTTTAAAATTTATTGAGTTGCACCATACTGAAAACTGCAGAATTCTTATACTTAAATGTACATGCAAGGAGAACAGACCTGGGGTAATGGTAATGCATTGTAATCATTACATTTTTTCAAAATAATGGGGTGTAATGTGTAATGGATCCATCTTTCAATTACAAGTAATTGTAATGTAATGCATTACTTAAAGAAAAATGTCAGTAATGACCAATTACTTTTTATCTTTGAAACTAAAAAAAAATAAATATCACTGAGAGGTATTTTTTCATTGATAATGTTAGTCCTAAAATTAAAATCCTATATCCTACAATTTTTTTTTATTTATGAAATGGTAATTGATAGACAAAGTAAATAATTCTTTTAATAGAAATCTTCTTGACAAGACAATGTAAATCAAATGAAGAGAACCAAAGAAAATTATTAAAAGAAATCATCAAGTTTTAAAGAAAGATACAAAAAGGTGACATTAATACATGTATAGTGAGACTTCCAGTTTTAAGATACAAATTATATTTTTCTACTTTTTTCCCCTTCTCTATCTGGTAAAATGGACTTGGCAAACATGATACAAGATAAGTATGATTTATAAAGACCTCAAAATTAAAACCCTACATCCAGGTACTTGTAATTATCACCTTTGGTTGTGTTTAATTTATAGCTTCATTGTTTATACCTGTAAAGCTAATTAGAAGTGCTAATTATTAATTCATAAAGTTTTTAATACTCCTTATTCATTTTTAGCATTATCTGTTAATTAAATATTTGTTTACCTAAAACATGTAGTAGGAAATGTTCAATAAATCATTTATTTAAAAAACAACAACAACAACGGAGAAACTAACAACAGATATTGAACAAAACTACAACATTGAAAGTGTTCTGATCCACTTTCTTTGTCTACTGTAGATTGGATTGGTAAACTACATGAACATGATATATGAATCTAAAATCCAAATACCACTCTGATTTAAAGATCTGAGGAACAGCATATTAACTCAGAGCACAAAGTGTGAAAGTAAATTTATTGGTATAAATTGTGTGGTCAAACGTTTTGTGTTTTTCTCTTATAAAATGTAATGTGTAATGTAATTCATTACTTTAACAAAGTAATTGTAATTTAATTAATTACTTTTCTGAATGTGAGAGAATGGTAATTGTAATTGTCATGATAAAAATTCCAAAGTAATTGTAATGTAATGCATTACATTTCAAAGTAATTGACCCCAGGTCTGAAGGAGAATGGTACTAATTTTATTTCAATAGACATGCACATGTGCGATGAATATATGGTGCGGTTTTTTTTTTTTGAGATAAAAATGCTGCTGCTCTATAAAATCTAAACAATTTGACTAATGGCGCAGAACCATTTTCATCTTACTCTCTTTTAAAACTTCTAAGAAGTAGAAAATAAATAAATAAATTGAACAATACCCTCTATTAACTTTTTTCTTAAATTAAAGGTACGTGGACACAGATTTGAAGTAAATATTTTCTGTATAATATCAAGACTTTTATATTTTAATTGCATTTCACACAAAAATATATGAAAAAAGTTATTTCATCTAAAAGTCATTGAAACTTCAATTTTTTGGATGGGTTTGATTGAGGCAGCCTTGCACTTTCACAAATCAGTTTTAATTTTTGTTCTTAATGCTTAGGAAAAGTGACAAACTTGTTATGAAAAATATTAAAACTTTAATCCAGAAAAAATAATTATATTCAGAGTAGAAATGTTCGAAAGCAACACCCCTTCACAAGTATCGTTACTCTGCGCGTTTGTACAGAGTTTAGCAAATTTATCACACCCTTGAAACGTTCACAGTTTCAGTAAACAGACACGAGCTCTGTTATTGTTAATGTTTACGATTCACGCGGTGCGTTCAATTGATAAAGTCTGTTCACCACAACTGCACGGACTGACAATATACTGTGTGCATGTTTTGCGTTTAAAAATTTCTACTCTGAATTTTTTGGATTATAGTTTTTATGTTTTTGATTTAGACACAAAAAAATTGCCAATTTTCCTAAGTATTAAGAATAAAATTAAAATTTGTGAAAGTGCAAGGATGTGTCAATCAAACCCGTCCAAAAATTTGAAGTTTTAATAACTTTTTAATGACATAAAAATTTTGATATATTTTTGTGTGAAATACTATTAAGATATATAAGTCGTAATATTATACAGAAAATATTAGCTTCAAATCTGTGTCTATGCACCTTTAAAACACTTAATGATAAAGTATTTTTTCCGAAAAACACACAAACAGAAAAATATTAACTGTATCATCTGGTTTTGGTTTGATTTTTATCATATCTTACTTCCGTTTGCGTCCATGCCGTGGTAAGTAATTCCTACTGGAATACAACCCTCGGAAACTGAAAAGTAAGACGGGTAACCGCCCACTAATCCGGAATATATCTCTACCGGAATCTGCTGACCTCCGGCTCCGAAATGGGTTCTGTCAATTATTGTTGCGTTGTTCCCATTCTTTCCTTTTAAAATGTAAAATCTCAAATCGTAAATTGCTCAGTCTAATGAATACCATCTACAATAAAACTCATTTATAACGAAGTCATTCGGACCTATGAAATTACATCTCTATATCCATAATTCGTTATATACGTATAAGGAAATCGTTAAATGTATGTAGCTCGAGTCTCCAGCTACTCGCGATATCTGTGAATTCGCAATATCCGTGTTCGTACTAAACTAGTTTTACACTATAGACCAATGTCCTTCAATAAAAAGGTTTAAATGATTTTCCAAACATTTTTGTTATTATATAAATATAGCACTTTGATCAGGTCGATCCACAGATATATCGACTTCACAGAAAAGCATATTGACCGAGTACGAAGTGCGAGGTCAATATGCTTTTCTGTGAAGTCGATATATCTATGGATTGACCGAATTGAAGGGCTACATTTGTTATATTATTTTTTACAGAGGTTGATAAAAAACAATTTGAAAAAATTGGAACAAACCGCAAGTTTTCTCTCTTAAACACTTAGAGACTAGAAATCAAAATAAATTTAGCTGTTTAATATAAATGTGTTTCCTTTACATTTTTTTAAAGTAATTTAGAGGATTTACTAATTGAAAATACTACAAATTCGCATCTTTTTTTTTATTATGTTTTGTATCAATTTTGACAAAGATATTAAATATGTTCTAATATTAAGTAGATCCTAAGTCAGGCCATTGTTACGTCTTATCAGTTTCTGAACATTACAAAGGACAAGATAGGGTAAGAGCCGAATCTGGCCCCCTATTTGATATAAAAATCAGAACACGGGTAAAATTGTGATAGTTTGTAGTTATAAAGTTAAAATGATGCTTACTTTAAGACAAGCACTAATTTTGATTCAAAGCTTATATGGAAGCCACTAGAGGGTGCAGAAATAGGACATTTTTCCGAATTTCCTCAATTTTGGTGAAATTTCATCATATTTGGGATACATTTCTCTTCGGAAAACATAGAGCACACGCTTGCCTATCTGAGATTTTTACACATATATCGCATCTGATATCAGTATATAAAATATCAAAATTTGGTAGATAGGCAAGCGTGTGCTCTATGTTTTCCGAAAGAAAATATGCTGTAAAATTAATGAAAATTTGCATAAAAATGAGAAATTCCGAAAATTGACCTCTCTTGACCCCTGTATATTTTAAATCTTAAAACCAACGCTCATTTTGTGGCAGGGCTAAAAACAGGTTTTCATGGATAAACTGTTGAATCATTCTGAAAGACACCCAAAAATCGGGGGCCAAATAATGGTCTTACCCTATCTTGTCCTTTCAATACAAGTTGAAGTATATCTTTTTTTTCAGAAGCATCAAGTCATATGCTGTATTAGCTATAATTGTGAAATCACTACTATTAATTTCTTGTTTTACAGAAAATTACCTCCAACTGAAGAAACATCAAGTCGATATGCATTTTAGATTCTATAAATAGTAACTCAAGTCAATATGCTTTTATATACTTAATCATGTAACCATGTTTAAGCCAATCAGAGGGCTTGGAATATATGATTGAAATGATATATATTTTTATCTATTAAAAGGCATGTCAAACTTTATTTTCGTAGCTTTGTTGTACAAAATTATCATCTTTTCTTTATCGTTTCAAATATTATATTAGTTATCAAATATAAGACGTACATGTAGCTTGTTAGTTTCATTAACTGTAAGAGAAATTCCCTCTTCATTTAATATATATCAATGAACACTGAAATAATAATTTATAGAAAATAAATTAATTAATTAAATGTTAAAATTTGCTGACAATATACATTTATTGAATGAGTTCGAGGACAACATGCGTGTAGTTTGACCCAAGAACCAAACTGTCTGCCTGAGGCAGTTAAGCCGAAGGTAGGCAGTTTTGTTCGAAGAAAACAGTATTTTAAAGATGGTCAATAAATGTTTTGTTATACCTTTCATTTAATTTCATTTTTGACATACATGTATTTTGTGCTTTTGGACTTTTTGAAGTAACGATTTGTAGAGGAACATTTTTTAAAGGTATTTCAATGTTTTCTGTATATATATATCTTTGATATTTTATTCTTGAATTTATGTCAATTCAAGAAAGCAAAAATAAAAATAAACTCACCCAAACAACTTAGTTCGTTTGTTGTCAGAACTGTCTTTTTACAGGTATTTGAAGCATAGTTCATGGAATACTCAATTTTCTAACAAGAAAAAAACCAACAGAAGATTATTTAATTTGACTTGAACGAATCAAATCAATCGGTAAGACCATCTTTAAAACATTTTGTTTGGTTGCCCTCCCCCAACCGACTGACTAAAAATGATGCGACTCATTTTTTTATTCAAGGACAAGTTTTTTTTTTCTTTTCATTCCTCTCATCCCGTCAATAAATTTGTTGAAATGTTTTGGAAAAAAGATTTTACCACATACCTACCGACCAAATATTTTTACCTTGAGCTCGAAGAGGGCAAGAAAACATTATTTTAAAGATGGTCTTAAAAATCTTTATTTTTTGCTGAAATTTACATTAAAAACCTTTTATTACAAGTTTTCATAATTATACTGAAATCATACCGCGTTATAATCAATTATTGTCTTCATCTTGACGTAGTCACCGTGTGTGAAAAAAGATACATATGTTATCAGATAATTAAACTACAATAACAAATATACATATGTTATCAGATAATTAAACTACAATAACAAATGTACATATGTTATCAGATAATTAAACTACAATAACAAATATACATATGTTATCAGGTTACTAAACTACAATAACAAATATAGACATATGTTATCAGGTTATTAAACTAAAATAACAAATATACATGTTATCAGTTAATTAAACTACAATAACAAATATACATGTTATCAGTTAATTAAACTACAATAACAAATAAACATATGTTATCAGATAATTAAACTACAGTCACAAACATACATATATTATCAGATAATTAAACTACAATAACAAATATACATATGTTGCATGTATCAGATAATTGAAAAAAAAAACTACAATAGCAAATATACATATGTTATCAGATAATTAAACTACAAAAACAAATACACAGTATGAAATATACACTAAAATCGAAACACCAGATAACTAATTTACAATGCGAGAAAATAGATATACGAAATGAAATGTACTCTAACACAAAAACAAGATATCAGATAACTTAACTACAATAGCAAATTTACATAATGAAATAAACATGATATCACATAACACAGAAACATTATAAAATATATTTTGAAAAATCAATCATGACGTTTTACATGTGCATAATATACAAGTACACGATAATAAATATACACGTTGAACAAATGTACTAATGAAATTTACTGCTATGTTTTTTAATCGAAGAAAGCAGTTTTCATCTTTCAAAAAGATTCCAAGTGTATGGAATTCTATATACGAAAGCCAAGTGCTTCTTGCTCACTGCTCACTGCTTATTGCCAACTGCTCACTGCTTTCTGCCAATTACCACTGCTCATAGACGATATTGCCTGTTTGTTATCTTTAATGTCTTTAATACGCATGCTTAATTGATAAAACCCTATGGCGTAGATAACATTAATAACACAAATTGGCGGACTCTGAATTTTTACGAGGGGGGGGGTATTAAAGGCTTTATACGTCAGAATAAAGTGGGGGTGGACAAACTTTTAGTAGGATTTTGGGTTATATTTATTGGTTTATAAATTTATATCAGAATTACTAATAAAAAATCATAAAGGCCTTTTACTCTACGTAAAATCAGTTGACCTCAGATAAAAAAAGAAATTTCCTTGTGGGGAGGGGAGCACAACCTAACATAATTCCCTTAACAAGGAATTGAAAAAGGTGTGGCATCATATCTTGTGTTTTCGTTTATCTCCTGTTTTTACAGGTCTAACATTAGCCATTAAAACGAATTACAAAAGACACATATAAAAATTCCCACACATGCAATTGCATTTCCTCTGAATTTGTAAATGGGTGCATATTACTAGATATTTTACACTAGGCAAAAGGTATATGTAAAAATTATTTTCAGTAATATTTCTAATATAAATACATATAACAATTAACAAATTTTACTCATGACCATTCAAAAGTTTGTTCTTTTGTTGTATGTGAAAAATTTGAAGCAAAGAGGTCACCCCCACCCCATACACCCACCCACCCACCCACCCCCTTTCCCCGCCAAAGTTATTTTTCACGTTTAGGAATGAGGTTTACGTTTTTGTTTTGTTTTGTAATATGAAATTTTTTGGTGATTTTTACAATTCATGACGCCATTATACATGTACATAGACAAGTGAGAAAATGACTCATTTTAAATAGATATGCGTTGAACAAGGGTACTTATGACATTTACTGCTATGTTGTTAAATCTAAGAAAACAGTTTTCTTTTTACATAAAATCCAGTTGGCCAAAAAGATTCCAACTGAACCTTGTTCTTTTTCTATATTTTACATATTTTGATACTTTAGAGAGCAATATCAAAAATTGGCTGTATCAGATCATAAACTTTATTTTGAAAGAAAAATGTCTTACTGCGGTATAAAGAGGTACTTTGGAACCTGTGGGTACTGTTGCCATGGATCCGGAACCTATTCCCTCCCACTGAGGCGGAAAACAGCATTGTTGGTAAGAAACAACTAACACAGAGGAAAAAATTAAAAATCCCAGCATGGTTTATTGATGGTTTTTTAAAAACTGATCAGATGAGAACTCAACGCTTGGAAATTTTTAAGATAAAATTTGTGTCTTAGATGGAATAATGCTGATAAGAATGGAATCATAATCTTCATCGATACGACACGGTTTTATCTCTGTAATATGTTTAAGAGAGATAACTAGTAAATTAATATACAAAAGTTTTTTGAGTTATTTGTTATTTTTGGTTTGATCACTAGTTATTACTGCTCATCATATGCAAGTGTAGCTTTAGGTTTGTCACTAAGAAAAACAATGCAAATTTTAAAAACTGGGTTTTTTTATCTTACATGTTTTTATGTTTATCTATTGATGTACAAAACGGATGAAAAAAATTGTAATCATTGTTTTAATAGGTAATAAATTTAAATGTCTAAAACAGCTACTATTAACTCTTGTCAGAGTTAATGCTGATCATTAATTCTTCATTTAAGGAAAATTAAAAGGAAACTAAAAAAAAAACTGTTTGCGAAGTGTAAAATATTAAGTAATTTCTTAAATATCTCTAAACTGTGTGAATTGTGTTAATTGCCCTAGACCACAAGAAGTTTTCTTTTTCTTTAAAGTGTGATTGTTTGTATCATTTTTATAAATAACTCTTATTTGAGATTCAATTTATCACTGAAAAGGATGGCATTGAAAACCAAACATAAATTCTTCGGATATTGATTATAAGTATGGGAATTACTGTTGAAGAAAAACATTACTTTTTCACTTTTCTTCAACGTCTGCGAAATTAATTCCTACAATAGCAAAGAAAGGCATTATATATATATATATTATGTACATGGATTTCTATATATAAATGATAACATAAATTAGGATATCAATTAAGTGAAATATTGCATCCAGAACGTGAAATATTGTTTAATTCATTGTATTTTTAATTGATGATAGAGTAAATACCCGTGGAATCTTTCCTGATGAACGTACTTTACAAGGTTAAAAGAATGACCTAAATATGACTGTAGTTTTGTAAATATTTTAATACCCCTGCAAGATTTCTCTTTCTTTACCCTTCTCCAAAATATTAACACAAATGAATAAGAAACTTCAGCAGTACTGTGCAACAATATTATTGTAAAGAAGAATTAGAAATTTGAAAGCACAATATTTTACCACAATTGGTCACATAAAAACTTAAATGACTTTTTCAGCATTATATACAACCATTTACCAAGATAAATTTAAGTCCAAGGTTTATGACATCATTGACAGCCGATTTTAAAAAAAAAAAAACAAAACATGGACCTCGTATTCTTTTAACCTTGTCATTTGCAAAATTATTTTTTGTAAACAACATTCTGTTTGTACAAACAAGTACTCTAAAGTACTTAAAAATATAATATAATATAGAATATTTATAGGATGCTTGAGCTCCTGATTGGTAATATTGATGTGGTTTTTGGAGACCCAGTCTTCCATTATTCCAACACAATCTCATTCGTAAGAAAGAAGAAAACACTTGGTGCCGAGGCTTTAAAATCGACATTAAAATACGAGGGTTCTTCGAAAAGTTCGTGGACTGCTACCATATCTTTTTTTATTTGACGTTATATGTTACCCAATTTGGTATAAATATTTTAACAATGAATCCAAAGGGCTTGTATTAATCTTTTTTTGAATACCACTATTTTTTTTAAAAACTTATCCAGAGTTTAAAATGCAAGTTTATGCAAAAATCGGATCGCTGAGCATATCAAAATTAACGAAGTAACAAACAATATACTGAATATTGTCTCTAGTCGTATTTTCTGTAAAATGGAGCAATAGCCATAACATCAAATTTTCTAATTTAATAAAATCTTGTGAGAAGACAGTATTCCAAATTATGGCTTAATATTTTGCTTTGTTGAAAAAAATCAGCTTGAGAAGATAGGTAGTCTTCATTGAAAACGATGACGTTTTAAAACATCACGGAACAGCCGATAACGATGCAGTTTCGTCTTTTACTCAGGAAAAATCCTAAATAAACTCAAAAACTGTTGAAGGAATAAAAAAAAAATATGTCACAAGCGAGTTGTACATGTGTGTACAAATAGTACAGGCAGTGTCTGAGTGACAGAGATTATGTATCAGATGAAAACAATCTGTGAAGAAACGGTTTAACTGTGAAAATATTAACAAAAACTTTAAAAAGTCGGAACGTCAATGAAAGACTTTAGAGGTGCTTACCCTGTGAAAGCAGAGTTAAGTAATAATAGAAATTAAAATCCTAACAAAGGAAGTTATACAACGAGAGCAATTCTTAAAACATAAATGTCAGGTATTAGGGAAAGGATTTAATGAGTGGGCATTGGATTATACTGTCGGAAATGTATAGGAATATTATTTTGTAGAAATTTTTGAAGCTATATTTTGACGTTACATTGCCGTTATGTGTGCTTCCCGGGTACAAAACATGTTGATCTTGAAATGAAGTACATGGATTTCTGTTAAATCGAATGGAATGAAACTCCACACACCAACAAAACAAATATGTTTACATATTATACGAGGGTTGTCCCGTAAAATCGTGGACAAGTTGTCTAGTGTGAAAAATAAACATCACTGCGTTCTGAAATTTTCACTATACATTAGTACATATTTTAGTAATATACACAGCAAATTTCAGATAAATATATGCATAGATAAACAAATTATGAGATTTTATGCCATGTATTGTATCACCTTACGGCGCATAGATTATAACGCCAAAGTGTCTAAAACAGCGTCACGTTTTATCTTTGCTGAAAATGAAGTTGGATGAGTCCGACTTAGGTTTAGGAATTTCATTGATACACATTATTTAGTCTCCATAAATAGCCGAAGAACCAGTTGGCACCCTCATGCGATCTTCTAAAGATTTATTAGTAAGTTACGGACAATATTCTCACCATCATTCAACTAATAGAAAATCTCATATCGGCGGTCTACTGTGACAGCGTCTTTTACTATTACAAGTCATTAGGAGTTTGTCTGTATGTATTGTACTCCCCAGGGACTCGATCAAAAAAAACTTCGCTAAGAAAACTCGTATTTCATTTGTATACTTAAGATATGGTGATATTTTTACAATCATTTTTCTTCTATGGTCATTTCAAGTCTCTAAAGGTGTCATTACAACATCGAAATAAAACTGAACTGTTCTCCGGTGCGCCGTAACGTCATAAAACGTCGCCATTTTTCGTGTGTTGTGTTTACCACTTTCCCATTTCGAATGCTCGAGAAACTGCCAAAAATTAAACAAATGCCTTAAATTTTTTACAAAGACTACAAAATTGATTGTGGAATTGATTTAGGATAATTTTAATCCAAATATTATGTATTTAAAACTTTTATTTTGAATTCAAACTTGTGTATTCTTTAATAAAACCTTGGTTTTTGACCGTGCGCCGTAGGACAATACCTCGTGCACATTCAAGCATAATAAAATCTTTATTTTTGCCTATATTTTATCAAAAAAAATTATCTTGCACTTAAATATGATAAATAAACATTTACGGAAATTTTCAGCTTAGTGCGCCCATTACTTTTCGAGAAAAACGCTTTGTCCACGAATTTACGGGACAACCCTCGTAATGCCCTTATTTTAAATTTCTAGTGAGTAATATAACAAAGATTGACATCGTCCGCAAACTTCATCACCTGCATACGGAGTTTATATCATTTAGTTGATTCAATTCGCAAAAGCATGCTCTACGTATGAACAATTTTTGATACGAGGTAGGTAATCGACAAACAAGTTGATGTAACAAGAATATCAGCAGTCTCGTTTAAAGTTATCATTTTGTAAGTTCTGATCGATACAATGACCTTGTCAGCAAATCTAATTTATCATTAACTCAAATGCCGACCAACATTTTTCATTATATTTTTTTACCATTATTTACACATTGAATTGTCCAAGGATTTTTTCGTTATATCCAGATCATAACACATGGTCTTTTTAAGAGAGCTGGGTGGTTGTAGACATTCTTTTAGACTATATTGATCTCCTTTAGAAGAAAAGCTCCATATTAGAATATGCAGAAATGATCAAATTTTAACCCTAAAATGTATGGAATTTTTCTTTGCCAAATTATTGCACTTAAAAGATTAAGATATATCTAATAATGAAGTTATATCTGATGGTTAATTTGTTGACCTACCTACCCCCAACCCCACCGCCCCGCCTCCTTAAAATAGCAGTTCTTCGGATAATGTTTAATTAGTATGTACAACCTTGTTTCTTTGTTGTGTGTGTACTTATCATATTTTAAATTTGCCTTCTAGGGTTTATTATGTCATATTTTTTCTTCCTAGTGTGATAGTGTCAATTTATAGAGATCGTTAAATGAATAATTCCTTTTCCATCAACGTTGCTGTCAGTAGCCTATCTTGGTCTGAAAAAAAATTGTATTTGAAGCATGCTCTTGTGTATGTAATAAGTTGGCAATTGTAAACAGCACGATAGAGGAATAAAATGTGTTCATCAATTTAAAAAAAAAAACAATGGAAACGCTAAAATCCTCTTTTTTTTGTCAGAGAGTTTTATTTTGTTCGATTAGTTGTCCCTTTTGTCTATAGTTAGTAAAACATCCAGATATGAAACGTTTTTGACAGAAGTTGTGATGTCTTAGACCAAGTTCACTGGTATACATGGAATCGACATATGAATGAAGGTACATGTAGCTTATGTCAATTGATTAGGTGTCAATTTATCTAGTACTCCCTGATTTGATCTAGTAATGTCAAGTTTCTTGCCTCTGTACCCTTCATCTTTGCTACATTATGAAGTCGGTGCCTAAGATGTTTGTGAGAAAATAAACCCTTCTGTGTATGAAATTGATATAGGGTATTGTATATATCAATGTTTCTTAACGATTTGAAGAGGTTTAAGTTTCAACGTAATAGTCAAAATGCTATTCCGAAATCCTTAAGCTAGTGCCTCATCTAGAATATATTATTATATAAATATTGCATGTAGTTGAGAGTAACATTGAAAATTTTCACCCCAAGAAAACAATTGTGCACGCATAAATTCTGCGCAGTCGCTATTTTTTGGAACATCACCCGTCGTCAAGCACTGTTGACTATTGCTACGCTGGAGGCGTGGCGTCATTATTCAGCAGGTAAAAGTGTTTTTTAACAAATACTAATGTTTCTCGACCAATCAGATTCAACTAATTTACATGAAAGTATAATATTTTAAAATATTATACTTTCATGTAAATTACTTGAATCTGATTCGTCGAGAAACATTTGTTAATAAACACTATTACCCGTTGAATAATGAAGCCACGTCTTCCTGCATAACAACAGTCATAATTCTTTTCCAAAAAATAGTGCATTTTGCGTGCGCGGTTCAACACATATATGTATAAAACATTTATAATATGATAAATATTGCATGTAGCTGAGTGTAACATTGAAAATTTTCACCCCAAGAAAACCATTGTCAACCTCGTCTGCGACTGCATGCAATATATGTATAAGATCATATTATGAGATGTAAGGTTTTGCTGGACCATCTGACATTAAGAAAATTATGTGTTGATCTCTTGACCACGTGTCACATTTCATCTTATCAATATTTCAATTTTTTATTTTGTTTTCTAATAAAAAGACAGACATAATTCTTTTTTTAAAGAAGTGCATATTGCTAAATATAAATGTATATTTTATTTAAAATCTTTAAAAAATTCTGTAAAAAAACTGCATTATACATATCTAGCTGACTAGAAAACTACACATTGTGTTTTCTTCATCCTACCACAGTTCCCTGTAAATAAAAAAACCCACATATTTCAATACATCGTAAAGATTTGGTGATAACGTTTTGCATATTTTTCACAAGAATTTCGAAGGATGTAAAAAAAAGGCTGCTGAATATATATCAAAAAATAAAGATATGAAAAACATCCCAAATACACAAAAATAATCAAATATAAAACTGAACTGAGTTCAAAAAAATAAATCAAGGGGAAATAAAGCTTTCAAATAACATAAAACAAACAATAAAGCAGAGAGAGAGAGAGAGAGAGAGAGAGCTTTTTTTTTTTTTACATCTTAGATACCTAAAAACACAATGATATGAAATTAAGTCTATCAAAAATGTAATAGTTAAACTAATATATTAACGGATTTTTTTAAAAAATGTCAATAGTAGTTCAATAGTTATTAATATTTAGGAAACAAAAATAATTTTATGCAATGAGACACACATTTGCAATAAAATCAATTGGTGTTTTGTAGATTTTTTGCTATTTTTTTTAATGTGAAAACATGTACTAACCGCTAAAGGAGCAGCTACACAATTGGCCGGAACTGCAAAAACCGATAGATCAGAGATACCGGGAGTGATGCTATGATATCCGATGGATCCGATGACAGAATCTAAATGCAACAACAAAGTTGTATACCAAGAACAAATTTGTATAGCAAGGAAGGAAAAAATATTCAATTATAATCAGATTTAAGTTGTATCCTTTAAAATCAATGTTCGTTCGTTATGTCTTTAGTTCTTATTGACTGGCGTGTTCTTTCAAAAGGCACTTATAGATGGGCTTATTATTTTACTTTGTAAAGTTAAACCATTTGCCAAAAATAACAATTTTATAAAAATAAGAAAATTGAAATTAAAATGAATAGTTGAAATCAAGATTATCTAGACCCAATTTAGAATATTTTCTGATTTATTTTACAAATTTTATTTCTAGAAGTTTGATTCTGGAAGTCAGAAACATGAATAAAATTTGTGCCTTTGTGGAAGCGTTGTATTATATTGACTCACTTCCGTTTTCGTCACTTCCGTGATAGGTGGCGCCTACAGGAATACAACCTTCCGCTACAGATAAGGTAGATGGGTAGCCATTAAACACAGATCTGTAAACCGTAAAAGGAAGCTGCTGGCCTCCTGCCCCGAAATATGTCTTGGCAACAACCGTAGAGTTGTCACCATTGGTTCCTTAAAAAACAAACTTAATCACGTAAGTAACATTTTAAACTTTACAATTTTATTTTGATTGACATTGCATATGTGCTTTTTTATTTTCTTTAAATATGATCAAATTATTCCCATTATATAAAAATATAACGTATATTACATGTATCTATATAAAAGGTAATATTTAATGGCATCAACTATTCACATTGAAAATTTTTTAAAAATCAAAAATTAATTTTACTGCTTGCATTTTACTTAACGTTTTACATGTAGCTTCTGTGGAACAAGATTTGTAATTAATTGCTTTTTAATTGTTGATTACTTACCTAAGCAAGTTACTTCTTTGTCTGTCATAACTGTTTTCTTACAGGTATTAGTACTAACATCAATGACATATTGAATTTTCTACAAAAGAATAATACATATTATAAAATATGTATTTTGAAGCTTCATTGATTAAGATAAAGCTCAGCATGAAAAAGTAACAGCGTAAAATGTAATAATCGAAATGATAATTATATTTAAACAAAAGTACAAAAATTTGACAATGAAAATTGAATGTTCTGTATTTTATCATTGGTTTCGTTGATCAGAATGATCTGACAGTTTGAACGGTACACCATTGAAGTCTAAATTAAACATTTTTTTTTTTAAATCCTCGATTGCTAGAATTTCTCATTTCTAGTTGCTTCAAATTTTGAAACAAAAACAAAAAGTGTAATAATGCAATAAAATCGGACTGACAGGTAGCTAGTGGTATTTTGTTTAGTGACTATAGTTAGTCTGTATCGTTCTATTATCCCTGATGCTATTGTGTCTTGTGACTATAAACAGTTTGTACCGCGCTATAATCCTTGATGCTATTTTGTCTAGTAACTGCAGTTGGTTTGTACCGCGCTATAGTCCCTGCTGCTATTGTGTCTTTTGACTAAAATTAGTCTGTACCACGCTATAATCCCTGATGCCATTTTTTCCAGTGACTATAGTTAGTCTGTACCGCGCTTTAATCCCTGATGCTATTTTGTCCAGGGACTAACGTTATAATCTCTGAGGCTAAATGTATTTTGTCTATTGACTATAGTTAGTCTACACTGCGCTATAATTCCTGAGGCTATATTTAACTAACTACTAAAGTAAGTATATATCGCGCTATAATCCCTGATGCTATTTTTACTTAGTTACTACAGAAAGACTATATCCCTGATGTTTTTTGTCTTGTGACTAACATTAGTCTGTCTTGCACTATAATTCTTGGTGCTCCTTTATATAGTGACTATAGTTATCTAAACCGCGCTATAATCCCTGAAGGTATTTTGTCTAGTGACTATAAATAGTCAATAACGCGCTATAGTCCCTGATGCTATTTTGTCTAGTGACTAAAATTAGTCTGTACCGCGCTATAGTCCCTGATGACTTTGATCTGAGTAGTTTGCCCGTCTGTCGTCACACTTCCGGACAAGTACAACAGGTGCTTGGAGTAGTCCACTGACAGAAGATAATTAAACTACAAATAAAATAGGATAGCAAATTTAGCAATTTGATATGTACTAAAGAGTACTACATGTAGTATATATTGGCTGATATACATGTCGATGAAATCAGAAATCTATATGCAAATTGAAATTAGCTTTTTTTAATAAACGAATAGTAAAATAAAATCTACTCTAGTATATACGGAGAAAAAAAAAATATACGAAAAAGTTTACAAAGATTAAAATCTTGAACATGTAAATCAAATTTCCTACATACAATGAATTTGTTCATTTCAACTAATTTATTAGAAGCATATTTTTTACTACAATGATGAAAAGACTTTGAGGTATTTATCATTATGTTTAAAATATACTGATTATTGTTAATATATAATAATTCTTTTAGTGGATGGTAATATTTTTGGAGGAAAATAGTGTAATTTTTTCTTGTTTTAAGGGACCAAAATTTGAAAACTTCAAGACGTAGTACTCGACGTATACAAATTAAAGACAAAATATTCAGACTATAAAATTTGTAAATAAATGTCATAATTGTGTTATTTTATTAATCATTTTCCTTTAGGATACACAAAAACGTTGCATGATTGATAACTAGCAGAGTGTTATGTATAATGCACATGCGCAACTTAGACAAGTTCTTACCGATGTAAAAACAGGAACGGGATTATTTCCCTGAGGAACAGAAGCCATGGATCCGGATTCTATTCCTTCCCATTGGGAGGGAAAGCAACATTGCTGATGAGAAAGTGCAAAAACAGAAACTATAATAAATAAAGTCAACATGGTAGGAATATGAGAAACCGGGCGGCCTGAGAGACGACTAATTTGGAGTTTGAAGATAAAGTGTACCTTAGGGTCTTTGAAAGACAACAACTGATTAAGGACGAATTATCAATTTGATAAGACACGTTTGTGCCCTATATATATGTATACCATATATTTGTACCATAGAAATTAAACGCCATTGAATTTTGAGTTATACAGTGTTGAATGCTTTGGAACCAAAAAAAAACACACGTATTTATTGCATTTTTAATTCATATTAAAGATATTTATTACTTTAACGAATCTAGCTAGCATTGATAAACAGGTATTTGCACTTTTTATAACTGAGATAACATTTTGTGATTGATTATATTGTAATATACCTATGACATTGTACATTGCTCTACTTTTCTTTTTTTCAAAAAGTGTGTTTCATAGATTTTTTAATCGCATTTTTTTTTTCATTAAAAAGCACAAAAAGTGTAAATGATCAGGATTCTAAGGGAGGGGATACTCCATGTAATTCGCAGTTAGATACTAGTACCTTGTGTTATTATTAGTACTACCTGTATGGGTTAAATTTATTTTCGAAACAAGTGCCTGTGTTAAAAAGGTCACAATTTTATGCTATATTTGACTTCATCACACTCGTTTCATATGAAGATCTTTTACTAGAAAAAGAGACGTTAATAGTTAATAAACAATATCTTATAATGAACTTTATTCTTTAAACTTTACAATAGTAAACTTTCCTTACTTATGCAGCAATATATCTTCATCACCTGCATACGGAGTTTATATATCTCAGTTGATTCGATATGTAGAGCAGGTTCTTCGTATGAACACTTTCTAAAACGAGGTAACTTTTTGACGAACAAGTTGATGAAACAAGAATATCAGCAGTCTTGTTAAAAGTTATCATTTCATTTGTTCTATGGTCGATACAATGACCTATGCAGCAGATACAATTTATTCATACAAATTGTTAGGCCATTATCTACTTTTATGTACAGAATTTATGTTTTGAAAAAAGGAGTTATACATTTACAGTTCCCGCAGAAATTCGGGACAATCTTGACGTACATTTTCTGAAAAGATGATCACCAGTTTTCTTCTTGCAGTATATTTATCTTTAATTCTGCTTCATGTACATAGGCGTCGGAACCGGGGGGGCTGACCAATAACTATTAAAAATTTTTTTTCCAAATATATACTTAAGTAGAGACATTGAATATATCTTTGCCTACTAAGCTCCCCACTTTCCACTGATACGTCTTAACATAGGTTAAAAATTTGGAAAGTGGTGGTGTTTGGAAGAAAATTTTTGGTACTGGAGTTAAAGATCAGTTCCATGTAAATGACCCCCCCAAGCCCACGAAATAGGATTTTCGTGTTTAGAAGTAGACAAAGGGTTTTTTTTTTTTTTTTTTTGCTTGTCAGGTTTATTTGGAGGTATAAAAAAAATTTTTTACACTTAGCCCCCCCACTTTCAATTTGCTTCCGACGCCAATGATGTAGTTACCACTTACGTCTTCTATCTCTAAAGGATGCCCAAAAACTATTACAAATTTCTTACTATAAACCAATCACATATTCCACAAGAACTAATGTCCTCTACTTCCTTAAATAACAAATAAAATGTTTGCCTACTAAGCTCTACTTTCGTTTTCATTGATTGGCAATTCAACACATACGTTACCTTCTTCCTGTATGGTTGAGTTTGGGAGGTCATTTTGTTACATACATTAAAGATCAGTTCCGTGTAAGTGAGAGAAGCAAGCCCATGGATATTGAATGAAATATGCCAGGGGTCTAACGGCAACGTGTTGACTCAGGACCCCTGGCTAGCGAGGATGGGAAAAGCTAGCAAACTTTCTAATTAACTGTACATGATACCACGTTTCCACAGCAATCTTTCTATTTGCTTCCAACACAAGACTTACTAGTGGTAAATTAATGCTTCTTGACTTTCTAGTTAATTTTTTCTTGTAGTAGCTGGTTTTCTAGTTAATCAGTGTTAATAATTGATTGAATAAAAGGCTAACTTCTTAGTTAATTATTTTTGCAACAGCTGATTTACTCCTTAATTATTAATTGCAACAGGAGACTTTCTACGATGAATTTTCTCATTTGGGTAACATTGAGGGATTGCTATTTTCCCCATCCTTTAGATCTTTATACGTACTTTTATTAATTCACGTACATGTGTTCATGTATCATGATGGGAAGAGAAAAAAATTATCTAGATTTGTTTAATGTACATGATGTATGGTACCATATATTCACATTTCAAGAAAAAAGAAATAAAAACAATTCTGTTTGATTCTTTATACTCCGTTAAATTCATATTTCATACTTTCCTACAAAAATACTACAGTGTATATGTTTGTCTCAAAAGAGCAATCTTTTTTAAATATTCCATAAATTAATCGATCAAAATTATAAAATCATATTATGCATTTAGAAACAACATTAAAATTGTGTTCAATATCCGTCGAGCAGGGCATTTCTTTTTCTTCAAAAAAAAGGACTGCTTGACGTTACCGTGAATATTTATCTTTAATTCGGCTTTATGTAGTGATTTATTTCTTCTAATCACTATGATGTCAGAAACTATAAAATATTTTTATCATTAACCAATCACATCCCTCACAAACTGATATAGATCTTCTTCTACATTATATAACAAATAATTATCTTTGCCTACGTAAATTCTACTTTCGTTTTCTTCAATCAAAATAATTTATTTTCGCACAATGTTTTAGTGTCATATATATGCCTTTAGAGACAGCATTTAAAGATTTAATGATCAATATCGATGCATGGTCAAAGCACAGCATTTTATTAAAAACCATGGTTTACTAATGTAATTAATATAGAATTACATGTATGAGGAGTAAGACCTTGATTCCTTTATTGAATTTTCAGACTATTATACTATACGGCGCGGTGATGGACAATAAATTTTGTGCAAATTAAGCTCTGCTTTCGTTTTTTAGAGATAAGTCATTCAAAACAAACGCAACATGTTTCCTGTCTGTGAGTTTGGGAGGTCATTTTGTTCGATTAAAGATCAGTTCGGGGTAACATATGCTATTGCTTGCAAAGCAGACTTTTTAGTAAACTTTAATTTCTTGCAACAGTAAACATTTTAATTAATATCTGCTTGCAACACCAGATTAACTAGTAGTTGATTATTGCCTGCTGACTTTTTGTTAATTTCTGCTTAATTGTAAAAGCTGCCTGACTTTCTATTTAATTCTTGCTTGAAATATCTAATTTCTTAGCAATTATTGTTTGCAGGAGCTGACTTTCGAGATACATATACTAGTAGTTCCTTCTTGTACCAGCAGACATTCTAGTTAATTTTTTGCTTGCAAATATTCTCATTATAAAAAAAATGCACTCTGGTGAACATATATATTCTTAATACCCCTACATTCAAATTCAAACGAGAGGTTCAGTTGTGGCTACCTCACTCCCCAAACTTTTCTTCTTAAGTTAATATTTATTGATAAAAGGCTGACCCTAGTATTCTGATTCTATAAAATCAAATCTTTGCTATAATAATAAGAGGTCCAGATATAAAGCAAAAAAAAAACCCGATATCTTTTTTTTCTTCTAAAAAATGTCCCCTTCTTTTATTTGGTTAAATTCAATGCTACGTACCTCAACCATTTTTTTCTATTTCTCTGTAAAAAGATTTTAAAATTTGTAATTTACTACAACAGAATTTTCGTGGTTTGTTTGTCTAGTGTGTAGACGCTTATATCTAACAATTTTTGTACCATTACATTAATTACAGTTGTCTCTCCTTATTCTCTCCGGACTGATTTACATATGCATTTTGGGTAACGTCTGTTGGTTGTTTTTTTTTCTATCCTTAAAATCTTTTATCTTTTATTGATAAACGGTCATATATAATGGAAAAGGAAAAAGTATACTATGTAGATTTGTTTAATTTATGATACCATATATTCACGTTTCAAGAAAGGTGAAATCAAAAAAAAATCTCTGATTCTTTATACTCCCTTAGCATCGAATTTCAAAGGTTTCTTAAAATTGCTATATTGTTGTCTCCAAAACGTAACCTTTTTAAAAAAAAAAAAATTACATAAAGTACCCGAAAAAATTAATTTTTGCACAATGTTTTAGTGTCATATATAAGAATTATCAGAATTTAAAGAGTTTTCTTATTTTTGCGGTGTGCACCTCACTGAATTATATTATATAGAATTACATGAATTAAGACCTTGATTCCTTTATTCCATTTTCAGACTATTATGACGATGGTGGTGATGAACAATACATTTTATACAAATTTGAAAGGACAATAAATTCAATTCAATTAAAAAGGCTAGTCATTGTTATATTCGCATGCAGCTGTAGCGCATTCTTAGCTCTGAAAATGTGAAGGAACTTTGTACATTGAACAAAATGTTTCCCGTGAAGCAATATGTCAAAATTCTTTAATTGCAATATATGGAGATAACGAACAGTATTTACGCTCAAAAGTCCATTCAACAATACAAATTTTGAAGCATAGCAAACGGGGTCTTCTAAAACATCAGAGTTGGGATCAATTACCAAAGAAGAGCAGGCATTCTCTGCCCATCGGTCATATTCGCCGATTGCTCCTTTTCATGATCGAAAAATAACGGAAAAATCCGTTGACAACTCAGTCTTAAATAGTGGTGTAACTGTTACTATGAAAAAACGTCAGTCAGCATTTGAAATAATGAGAGATAGTATTTGCTGACAAGGTCATTGTATCAACCATTGAGATTAGGAATTGTGGACTTTAAACAACACTGTTGATAATCTTGTTTTATCCACTTGTTTGTAAATAACCTAATTTTAAAAATTGCTTAAAAAAAAAAAATACGTAGAGCATGCTCTTGCGTGTGACGTGTCGAATCGATTTAGCTGAGAAATATAAACCCCGTATGCAGGTGGATTGCTGCATGAGTAAAGGAAGCTGACGATTGAAAAATAAAAGTCATTACGATGTATGTCTTTTCTAGTGAAATATCATGATATGAAACAGAAGAGTCAAACTCTTTTATTTTAAACTCGCTGGGATA